CTAGGAGGCGGAGCCATCTCATGGAAATCCTCTAAACAAACGTGTATAGCTAGATCCACTATGGAATCTGAGTTCATTGCATTAGACAAAGCAGGGGAAGAAGCTGAATGGCTTCGTAATTTCTTAGAGGATATTCCTAATTGGCTGAAGCCGGTGCCCGCCATATGTATACATTGTGATAGCCAATCAGCGATTGGAAGGGCACAAAATCACATGTATAACGGTAAGTCTCCACACATACGTCGTAGACATAATACCGTTAGGCAACTTCTCTCAAGTGGTATAATTACCATTGATTACATAAGGTCAAAAGAAAATATAGCAGATCCGTTTACTAAAGGTTTGACTAGAGAGCAAGTTTATAAATCATCGAGGGGAATGGGTTTAAAGCCTATGTCTTAAGAATCGCCATAATGGCAACCCAACCTAGCTGACTGGAGATCCCAATATCTAGGTTCAAAGGGACAACCGAATTGTGGATGATTCAGTGGGAGCACTGCAGAGATAATCTCCTACCCATGTCCTATGATGAAACAGTGCTATCTGCAGCATGTTTAGGATAAGCTTTGCTTTTAATAATTCCTATACTTGGAAATAACAAGTGGGGTATTGTGCAGGATACTCTTAATGGGATATCACCTACATGAGTGTGAAAAGTGGCCGTTTCTATGAGAATTATAAGGCTAAATTCTCTAAAGCACTCAGGATTACCGGGAATTGTTCAGGGCCAAAAATGAACACAACCGTAGAACCATATGTGTTTGGAGGAATACCGTGTGAATATTATTGTCTTGGTTTACATCAACGGCTGAGCAGTTCAAGACATCGCGTTCACTGATTAGCTAGTAAATCAGATAATATTTCACTAAGGAAGGTTCAAAGCCAAAAGCTACCTCTCCCCATACAATATTTGTCCAATTAAACTCTCTCTAAGTGTTTGCATCTTCATTTGCATTAAATTTTGTTAATTTCCATTCATGTGGGGATTGTTAGAAATTCAATATTTAAATATTTGTATTATTAATATTTAAACTTTAAATGTTCAAGTGAATGAAAATTAAAAATAGTCATGGATGGGTTTGACCGGCAGTTTTCAAAGGTTATGTACATTTGAACAAAAGGTTGCAGACGCAACCTTTGCAGCTCTTGTCAATTGAGTTTGCAATCTTTGTAGCTTTTCGTCATTTGAACAAAAAGGTTGCATTGCAGATGCAAACTCTGTTTTTTTGGAAACGGATGCAACTTTAAACAAAGGCTGCATCCTTTGCCTTTTGGAAACAGACACAACCTTTGAAAATGGGGCATTTCGAAGCCTATAAATAGACCACCAAGTCAAGCATTTTAGATATACTTTTGCATTCAGAAATCATATAAAAATTAAAGTAGTTTAGTGTTCAACAAAGAGAGAGTTTTAAACACTTTTGGTTCGCTGTTCTTTGTGGATTGGAGTGCTACTTCCGCAAAGAGAAAGATCGTTGTATCCTGGGAGACATTTGCCAACGCAAACCTTGAGGCACCACTGAGGGGCAATCTTGTCTTAAGGCTATAGAATCAAATTCTAGCCTCGATCTCTTAAGGTTCTTCTATTCCTTGTTCTTCTTGCATTTGTAGAGATTTTATTGTGTATTATTTAATAATTTATAATAAAATATATAGCAAATTTTCCATAACTTTTTCCAACAGAATTAAGATTGAAACTTTTATCCCATTAATATTTTGCAAGAATTGTAAAAGATAAAATCTTTCTTTCCATGTTATGGTAGGAGTAGGAGGTTCTTTCGCCAGTTGTTTCCTAGCCGAAAGTTATATGCTTTGTTCCCTCTCTTTTTTTAATATATTTTGTTTCATGTTTGAGAAAACTTAGTTTGAATATAAAGAGAAGCATTCAGACCTTGTTTTCCAAGTGTTTTTTATTCTATAGAACAATTTAGGTATCTGAAACAGTAGTTATTTACACTTTAATTTCTCTGCAGATTCTTTCCTGTTGTGGTTCGTTTCTCCCTTTCACATGTGATAGTTCTTCATGTTGGAGTGAGGTTATCGAACTTCACTGTCGTCGATCAGCTTCTGAATATCCTTATGAATCTGGCCAGAAATACAAGAGACTATCCTCGTGATTTCGGTTTTGATTCTAGCCTAAAAAATTCAGAGGGTGAAAGAAGAAGGTAAAAAGGAAACGAGAAATGGGATGTTCTACCTCAAAGCCAGATGATGAAGCAGCATTTCAGCTTTGTAAAGATCGAAAGCGATTTATTAAACAGGCTCTTGAGCAAAGAGGGCGATTCGCCTCTGGACACAGCATACATTCAGTCCTTAAAAAGAGTTTCAGCTGCTCTTCGTGATTATATCGAAGGAGATGAGCCTCGTGAGTTCTTATTAGATTCCTTCATAACCCCACCTTTCACACCCGTTAAGAAAGCGAGTCCTGGCTTAATCTCAATTTCACCAAAATCTTTCTCGCCTGCACCAAATATCCAATCCAAACCCCGTCCATGCGTGAAAATATGTTATCTAAGATCAGGAGGGAAACCAGCAGTTTCAGTAGAAGAGAGACCTGAATCACCCGAAACAGGCAGAGTTGAAGCTTACTCTCCAATGCACCATTATGGGATGGACGGGCTTTTTGGAATGCAATCTTCACCGATGAATTCTTCATCATTCTTCTCTTATTCTCCCAACAATAGGCCAAACATCCCTCCACCTTAGCCTCAAAATTCTCAGTGGGATTTTTTCTGGAACCCATTTTCATCGCTGGATTACTACGGTTATCCCACTCGAAATAGTCTTGATCAGAGAACCATGGATGAAGAAGTTAGAGGACTAAGGCAGGTCAGAGAAGAGGAAGGGATCCCTGACATGGAAGAAGTTGAAACCGAACAGGAATGTGATCATGAGGAAAATGTACCACAAGAAAGGAGTATGGCAGAGTGGACTTGAGATTGAGCTCGAAGCACAAATTCCATCACATAGTAGTGTGAGTATAGAGGTTTCGCAATCTCAGACTGCTAGACAAGTTAAAACTAATAGCCAAGAAAGAGCTGTTGAGCTCCGGGAAGCTAAGGAAGAAACACCAGGCTTTACTGTATACATGAACAGAAGGCCAACGGGTATGGCAGAGATTATCAAGGAATTAGATACTCAATTCACAATTGTTTGCAATGCCGCCAATGAGGTATCAACGTTGTTAGAGGCTAGCAGAGAGCAGTACTCGTCATCCTCCAATGAACTCTCAGGTTTGCTTACTTGGTTTATGAATGCTTGTTAAGCAGTAGAAAATATTTTGGTTTTCGTATTTTCTTTAAACTTTCAGGTTATTATATAGTAAGTAATTTTTGTTGCAGCCATGAAAATGTTGAACCCAGTAGCATTATTTTGCTCAGCATCGTCCAGATTTTTAATGAATTCTTCGTGCACTAAAGATGAAGGTTATGAAAGCAGTAGTGATGTCTCAGAGGATCCCTGCATGTTTTTCTGGTAGCCACCAATCAACATTGGACAGATTATATGCTTGGGAGAAGAAACTCTACGAGGAAGTCAAGGTATTACTTCTAAATAGCACCTACCTCAGCTCAAAAATACTTTTTATCCGTCGAAGAGACTAATAAACAAAAAATCATGAAGAACTGATATGAGCATCGTTACTTAAACAGTCCGGAGAAAAGGTACGGATTGCATATGAAAAGAAACTGATGCAACTACGGAACCAAGATGTAAAAGGCGATGATCATTCCGCTGTAGAAAAAACGAGGGTAGCAATTAGAGATATGCATACTCGGATGAAGGTTTCAATACACACGGTTGAAGCTATTTCGAAGAGGATTGAAACCATGAGGGATGAAGAATTGCAACCTCAACTCTCGGAATTGGTACAAGGGTATGCCATGCAGCTTTTATAAATAGTTTGCTCAAATATGTACCCCATGTTTCATGTAATTATCCTTCTGTATTAATCAATTGATTAACTAAACCAGGTTAGCAAGGATGTGGAAAGTAATGGCAAAGTGTCATCGGTCGCAGAAACGAAGCCTAGATGAAGCCAAGCTTTTACTAGCAGGCACGCCGTCAAAATTGGAAGCTAAACGACAGTCTTCCATTTCAGCCGCTGATCCAAACCGGCTAGCACGTTCAGCAGCCAATCTTGAGAAAGATCTGAGGAACTGGAGAGCCTTGTTCCAGTCATGGATCACTTCTCAACGATCTTATGTGCAAGCAATAACAGGTTGGCTCCTCTGTTGCATGAGGGCTGGTCCCGACACATCAAATTTTCCGTTGTCTGGCTCCAGTGGGGCGCTTCCAATATATGGACTATGCATCCAATGGTCAAGGTTCCTGGATGCCATACGTGAGACACCAGTGCTTGATGGACTAGATTTTTTTGCAGCTGGTATGGGGTCCCTCTACGCGCAACAGCTTAGAGAGGATTCGCGCCGAGTTAGGAGATGGTGGCAGAGGTCACGGTAAGAGTACTTTTGTGCCGGAATGTCAGTTACAATGAGCTCACTGACAGAGTTTGCCTTCGCGTCGGCTGAGGGATATGCTGAGCTTGTGAATCAATGGGACAGGGACAAGGCCAAGCCTGGAGCTGCTGCAATATTATGACTTTGTGATGTTCATATTTATGGGGTAGTTTAGTGACCGGTGTCAATATAATTATAAGAAATAATCTATAATATTTTGTCGCCGAAAAACAATACGAGGTCTTATCTTCGATTCTCCTCTCTACCATAAATCAATCATAAAAAGAAAATAATCATACGCCGGTAAATCAACCAAGGCTGTCCAACCTACTCAGACTCGGTCGCCCGTTGCTAGGGCTCAGCGAGGCACCAAAAGTTTAAAACCCTATACGGGTGCTGGAACACCGGCTAGTAGTCAAACAAACGCATCCGAGCAGCGCAATGGCCTGTGTCAAAATACGGGTTCCAGAATCCAGTGTATATGTAACTTCCACAGAATAAAAACGAAGCACACGAGGGGGCGAAAAACCTGTAAGTATGAAATTGCATCACAGTTAAACCCTTCTCACCAATTCACATTCAATGAAATTTACAAAATTGTCAACAATGCTTCAAAAATCAAAATTATAGGTTTCTAACTTGAACTTTCCAATAAATCATATCATGTATTTATAAAGGTGCTTATTTTTCCAAATTTCTCCACATCATACTACAAAATCGAAAGAACGGGATTACATAAAAAATCTCTTCAACGTCCGGCTGCTAATCCTGGCTGGTTTTTGTGTAAAAAATGCTGGTCTTAAGAACACAACTATTCATAGCCATCATCATCATCAACCTCGGCATCAGCCTCATCAACTCGGCTTAGAAGAGTGACGAAAAGTACAACTGAAACTAGCTGTGCTATTATAAAATATCTGGCCCTGCTCTTAAAACTTTTCTCCTCCTTTGTCTTTTCCCTTTTGGGTTTGCTCTTGGGCTTAGAACCTGATAACAAAATAAAAGCATAAGAAATATTGCATTCGAGGAGAATTGCAAGCTAGGTGACCCTGATATAAATATCATAGATAGAACCAAAATGATTAAATAAAATTTCATTCGCATAAATATCATATATACAAAATGGTCAACATATATAACTTAACCTTTACCTCATACAATTGGAAAACTTACACGTTGAACTTCACATGCAAAGAACTCTAGAAAAAAACTACAATCTACTCTTTACGATGATTTATATCACCCATGTCCCTATTAGTCAGCTCTTGCGTTAGTTATGTCAGAAAGCAGGAAGTATCACTTGATCTCAAATTACGAGCTGCAAATGCAGCTTCCACTTCAACACAGGCCTAACATACAAGTTGCACATATTCTAACTGTTAAAACACTCGAGTAAAATACTATGTTTTCTAAAGCAAAATTAAGGTGTCAGAAACTGCATGTGTGCAAGCCAAATCTACTCTCGAGTTTTTAAGGATAACAACAGATTTCACTAAAGAACCAAAAATAGAGGAAACCGAACTGGTTTAATAAAGGCAATGAATCCCATTAAACTATAGCACTGAAAAGAATAAGATACAGATATACAAGTCTTGAGTATAAAAGTATCTCACTCGAATTTGAAGGACCTCTTCTAGGAGCTGCTGATGAAGGGTTTGCATGAAAATTTGGGACTGAAGATGAAGAACCTGCGTCCATGAACTCCACCTTAAGCCTATCAGCATACTTAACAAGGTTTTCATGTTCTAAAAGCTTGCTCCGCAGTACCGATGTTTCCTAAAAGCACAAAGTGTCAGTAATCTATATAATGCCACAAGGAAATCTGAAGGGCAAAGGGGAGATCAAGCATAATTCCAGTTGAGTGATGAACATGAAGGTACAAAATGGGAAGCTAATAAGAAAATCTGCAAAAGTGGTTGTACTTCACTAACTCAAAAGTTAAATCACGGGGTCAAATTTTGTGCACAAAACACTGGCATCTGAGAGAGTTCAGAACAAGTATCATTCTTTAGTTGTTTAAATTTTTAACTTTGATAGAAATGTAGTCTTATGCCAACTGAAACTGGGTTTTGTGCACAAATCCCTGACATATGAGTGTAAGTTCAGATCAGTATCGCTTCTTTTTGTTTTAAATTATCACTTTGGTGGAAATGGTAGTCTTCCGCAACTGGAACTGTCATTTATAACTGCAGCACCTCTTCCTAAGCTCAAATTAAGTCAGAGTTCAAACCAGATGCAAAAGGGTATGTATCAAGCCGATTTTGATTGCTGAGAGTGCAACTTGAAATCCAAGCTGCTCAGACCAAAATTTTAATCTCACTGGCCCACAAAAGAGCAATATTTTGTTGAAAAAGCTTTAAACATGCTGCTAAACAAAATATCACCAAATAAAAAACAGGATTCTTTTTTTTGAGAAGAAAAGTAGAAGAGAACAGAAGAATTCTGCTTCCTATCGGATTATACATATTGTACTGTATGTTTATTATTTGTACTGTAGATTACAATCCAGAAACCATCACGAAAAAGAGAAGTTCATAGAAGAAGTGATGGTGGATGTTAGAAGCATAACGTTCACTTCTATGGAAGTATAATTCTCTTAGAATTAACGCTAATAAGTTGAGCATTAGGATTTACACAAGGTTCTGTAAGCTCAGAGAAATTTTAATGCCAAAAGTGATTAATAAACTCATAAAGAAAATGGTGCAGTCTTAATTTTCTAGGTCGGAGTACCATATTAGAATTGGCAAGCACCTTCTATCTCTTTCATCTCCCATTCAAGCAAATAATTTTCTCTGAGTTCAAGCGGAATAATAGTCTACAAGATAAGATCAAGATTCAAGTTGGAATCTCAACTTCTTAGTAGCTTCAAACTATATAGTTGAGCTAATTCAACGTAAATGGTGTTTAATTGCTAATATAAACTTTTCTAATCTGTCTGCCTACAAATACAATGACTTACTGGTAATGCTTGAAGAATGACAAGTGCCTGCCCAAGAAAGAGAGCATCCAAACTTGACGGCCTGCACTAAAAGGAACAACACATGTAGATACACAATCAGCACGATAGTATTAGTTTGCCACTTTGCATGTAACAAAATATTAGTACTAAAGAAAGCAAGTTAAATAAAAACAAGCACCCCAGGATTTCAATGTAAAAGTAAATAGGTACCTAGAATAGGATAGAAAATCACCTGTCTTCAAATAAAAACTTATGTTCCTCCAACCGACTTGATAGAGCTCCAAATGCAAGGCTGGCTCTCCTGTATGTCTGTCCATCAATTTTCCATATCAATAAAAACCACATAATTTATATACTAGTCAGGCAAGACAGCACTTGTTACTAAACACAAAGTAATATGATCAATGAGAAAAAAGGAAGAACCTGTTCTTCTATTTTCTCAGCGTTGTCATTAGTAATCCCAAGCTGCTGCTTTACGGTGTAAGATTTCTTATAATATAGAATCTTTCCAATTGGCCATGGGAGATCAGAATAATATATCTCTTTGGCAGAATTACCATGTGTTCCAACCCAGAGTTCATACGTAAGAGCATCAGAAACCCAGGAGCTAATCATTGCCTTTGTAGATATCCATTCTGGTATTGAGTGAAATTCAGTTTCCAAATCAGCAATACGGTCTTCTTTTAGTCTTTCGATAATGCCACCCTTCTCGTTATTATAGGCCACATACTCGCCAGATTCAATATAAGGGATTTTATCTACACAAAAGCCACAAACAATACCATGATTTTCATCTACTTCAAATACATGCACACATTTACACGCCTACTCAAATGTAAATGTGAAACAATAGACCAACAGAAATGCAACCATAGTAACTAAAGCCATTATTATATCAATTCAAATATAATTAGCAGATGAAATAACATACAGTTGTCTGTGCTAATCAAGGCACAAACACGGAGGCGGAGCCTGTGGCCACGATTGTCCAGTCAATCTAGATACACCTAACTATACAAAGAAGACCATTTAAACAGACACCAAACCCACAAATCCTATTTGTCTTTAGTAACATATCCCAACTGTACCGTTATAAATTTATACATAACAGACACCATTCACAGAACCAACGATATATCCACAGTTCGAGAGGGACTTGCACGGCATGGGTACATAGACGCCATAGCAACCATGCCAATGATAGAATGTATGTATCAGATTCTCTCCACATGTCATTGTATTAGGGGCATAGAATGTTACAGTGGCGGTGTACTCATACCATGTAAGGTATTCTTCCTTGACAATATATTACAAAACTAATTTGTATCATAAACTCTAAATTAGTAGCAGTTGGGAATTAAGAACAAATTCAAGTAACAAATCCAAAACCAATATTCTATGAAACAATCAATTCAATGCATATAAAATAAACCAAAATAAAACCCAATCCAAAAATTTAGCAGCAAAGAAATTTCGGACCTCCTATACTGCCAAACCCTCCTAAAACCAACAATAAAATTCTGAAAAAAAAATGAAAAATAAATTAAATATATGCAGAGATGGAGAAAGATTTTATACCAGAGTCAGGGTAGGTGAGATTGAAATCTAATCGGAAGGGAACGTTGGTAAGTTTGAGGTAGAAGTAGACGGGCAAGCATAAAGGGCAAGCAGTGGGCAAGCCGAAACAAGACTTCCTCGCAACGAGAGTGTAATCTTCCATAAAACTTGTAAAACCCAATTGGGGTTTTGCGTTTCCGAACTGAAATCCACGAGTAATTTAGGGTTTTTCTCAATGGCGGGTGTTGCAGTAGCTGAATAACTGCGAGAGAGAGAGAGAGAGAGAGAGAGGTTTTTGCCTGGGGTTTTGGAGGCAAATGGGTCCTGGAGCAAGAATGGGCCGTATCCGAGTCAAGGTCCAATTACCTAATGCCTAGGGCATTCAATATTTCTTTTAGGATTATATTTGTTGGTGTTGTAAAACTAACTATTTGAGAGAGATAGACGACTGGTTTGGGGTTGCTAGGTTTTTTTAAAAACTGTTTTTGTTGTGTTGTGGAAATAAACAGCAGATGTGTTTAGTAAACTATAATGCAAAAAGTGCTTTTAGCAAAAAAAAAAAAAAAATTGGGGATAGGATTGTTAATATGAAAGTTTTATTAATTGGTATTGTTCACCTACCTCTAATGATAAAATCGTTTTTTTTAAGAAGCATATGTAAAGTTGCTTCTGCTTTTTACTATTTTGGACCCATGATTTAATAAAAAAAAAATTAAAAAAACACTTTTTTCCATTTACCAAATATAATTAAGGCCCAAATTTTTTAAGAAGCCGCTTTTAAAAAAATTTAAGCAACCCCAAACCAGCCTAGAGAGAATGAGATAAGGGTTTGAGAAATTAGTGTGTAATTTTTCATGTCCAATGCTTTATTTGTATTAATCATGATGGTTTTTTTCCTTACTAGAAATTTATATAGATGGATATAAATAAATTAAAGATTTGCAGAGATGGAGAAAGATTTGATATCAGAGTCAAGGTAGGTGAGATTGAAATCTACTCGTATAGGAAAAGTTGGAAGACTTGAAGTAGCACTGGACAGACAAGCAAGAAGGGGAAGTAGTGGGCAAGCTGAAACAAGACTTCATCGCAACAAGAGTGTAATCTTCCACAAAACCTGTAAAACCCATGTAAAAAAGGAAATTCCTATGACAAATTATTACAAGAACACCTGTACAAAATAAAGTTTGTATTCATGAAAATTTAGTGTTACAATCTATGAAATTTGATCCTTTTATTCGAACTCCGATGAGGTTTGTGTGTGGTTGGTCCAAGGGTCGTAGAGACTTGATCTTGGTCAACGAACACCGCAAGAATTTTGGATTGTGACATTGGAGGAACCGGCACGTGTAGGTGGTGCTTGGTGGTTCATAACAAAAGTGGTGAAGAACTTTATAGTTTCTTCAAAGGTTTGGACTTGCTTCTTTTCTCTCAAAGTCATAGAATTCGATTCAAATGCGATGAACACTTGACCTTGAATCAGGCTAGAAGTTTCTTCAAGAGTCGTCAAGGCTTGATCTTGAACAAATCGGGAACACGAGGAGTTTCACGTGGTGGGTGGTCTTCGACTTTAATGCGGATGATCGTCATATGTTTGTTGTGCTTATTATCCTTCACAAGCTTGATGAAGAACACGAGTATTTAGCTGTTTATGCATCTAAGAGATTTTTGGATGTCCGGGAGGGCTTTGGACTTGCTTGGTTTGGAAGACCCAATTTCGATCTTGTAATTTGTGGGATCAGATTAGAAATTTTGATTTAATTTAGACTAATTGATTTAATTTAGTCCTTAATTGAATCATAATCTTGGATTTAGGAAATTAAGCCCTCATTGATATAATTTGATCAAATTAGAGTTATTTTGTCCTTTTTGGACTTGATTTCATCTGTTTGATGGAAGTCTCGGATATGGACATGTGTCTTTTTTTATTGCTCGATTTGTCATATGCCACATGTATTTTGTAGGACCCATGCATTGGCATAGTCGTTTTCGACTAGTCAAGTGGTCAAACTTTGAATTATTGGCCGTTGAAGTTTTCATGTCTACAAATGCTTTCACTTCAAAACGAGGTATAAACATGTGCGTGTCACAAGTAAAAGGTGTGGCTTGAAGTTACTCTTGTGGTAGGCTATCCTGCGCCCATGCATGTTGCAATTGACATTTTCTTGGACATACTTGACCTTGGCAGAAGAAATCTCCTTTAATTGACATGCTGTTTCATGCATGATGTTAAGTGGACGCCACGCCCCTTTTTTTTTGTTGGGAACATTAACACGTGCCCTTTAAAGATTTGCACCAAATTAAGCTTCACAATGTCAACCTTGATACAACCGGACTATCTCCCAATCATATATATTCACATGGTAATCGCACATGTGAATGCATCTGTAAACCAAATCATAAAGTTGGAGAAATTTGGTAATCTTATATGGTAAATGAGTCTCATATTCCACGAACATATGAGTAACTGATTTCTTAATTATGTAGCACTTCACATGCAAGCACTTGTTTATGTTGCGTCAGGTAAGAGAATCTGCACTATCAGCTTGATTATTTTATACAATCTCTCCTCCAAGCCAAATGGGTAAGAGTATCCCATAATTGAGTTGATTATGAATTATTTTTCCGCATCCTTTATAAAAAGAGATTACGGTGAATTCTTCTTATGCACTAGCAATACTATTCATCTAAATGGCAATTAGTGTAGCCACCATTGCCTTGCATTTGTAACGACAGTGAGAGATTTTGGCTTCTTGGTTTTATGTATCTCGTCCGCGAGTTTCATCACCACCTTCCAAACACATATTTGATGCCATAGATATACTTTGGTGTTAGCTTCATCAATGTTTACAAAGTTTCTATGAGCGTCATGGATGTCTTCCTCTGTGACCCTCGTCAATGCTCACCGAACTCGTGCTGTCATCATGGATTTCCTTCTTCCATGCGCCTTGCCACTACTCACCGAGCACGATTCTATCAATGTCACAGATGTTTTTCCTCTGTAAGTTTCATCAACTATCACCACATCATCCTTCCACCGATAATGCCATTTCCTTCATATGGTGTGCAAAGGCTAGTAAATACCAACAGATCAATCGATGGAGATGTCTTACCTAATGCAAAGAGCTAAGTATAATAAAGTACAAGTTGAATTTAGACGTGGAAATTCGGGTTCCAAAATTTCTACAAATGTCTCATTTGCATCTAGTATATCGATGATTACGGGTGTTCTCAGAAGCAACACTTTTTTGGTGTATTTCGACTAATGGACCAAACTACCATCAGAACAATGCTTGATAGGTCACAAAATGGATGAGCCCAAGATCCGTCATCTCATATTCCGTCTTCATGTGCTAGGCAGTTTTCTCAATTTCTTCGAGAGTCTTGACGAGATTCATGTCATCAACATGCACTGCAACTCTAGCAATTTCAGAATACTTCTTAGTTAACACGCAAAGGGCATAATTTACTCACATATCCCTGACTGGTCAAATAATCACTTAAAAGGGTGTACAACATGCACGCAGATTGTTTCAATCTGTAAAGTGACTCATATAAGTTGAGAAGGTGTTTTGGTCTAGAACTATTTGGATCAGTCCATGTAATTCTACGAGAAATTACATGTAAACCTCTATATCAAGATCTCCATAGAGATATGTTATTACCACATTCATAAGCTGCAATGAATCATGAAGCGTTGGAGAAAAGTCTTGCGCCATAAAGTGTGCATTGCATCGTACTATTTCATTCATTCCATTACACTTCCTTTCTCACTTGAAACACGAGAAGGTTACCTTGGCCGATGTAGGTACGATAGGTCCCAAACACACTTTGGTAAGGAATCTAATTCAACATTAGTTGTCCTTTGATCAATCATTATTACGTTGTCACTATCAACTGAACACAATTCCATAATGTTGTTTTTCATTTATGTTGGTAACAACCATATAAGTGAAATATCATCACACCCAAACTAGTATACTGAACCAAGAACTTCAAGTCTCAAGATAATCCAGATTAATCTCATAAGATGAAATGGTTGAGACAATGATCGAGTAAGGATTCATTTATGATATATTTTTCTTCTTCTAGGGAAGTGAATCCTACGAATTGTTTGATTAGTCAATTCTAGCCAAAGATTGATGATTGGCTAGCCGCCTTTTGTACCATATCGTCCATACAAGTGCGTCATGAGCTATCAGGGATGACAAACCATCCTTTAAAGGCGCACATCCATTCACGGTGAGGCCCATTGGCTCCAAAATACACATCGATCCATATTTATTAGGAGGGGATGCAAAGATATTCCACTTTAGTGGCTTCAGTCTTGACCATTGTGCTATCAGATATTCTTAAAACTCAACGATGTTCTTCTGCAATAGGGAGAATATAAGGCCTCTTTAATGGGGTAATTTAGTACCATATATACAACGAGGAGCGGTGTCAATATCCTTAATCAGGCTGGATAGACTTGAATTCGTTGTCTGAGGGGTGATTAGGTATAAAGTTAGTGTACGTAGTAGCACATTCATCCAAACAACTAACTTTCTCACATTTATACCTAATAGCATGATAATTGAATTCGGTCACATGTATAAAAACATGATTCAATCAACTCATATTTGAGGACAATATCCATAACATTATCCAGAACTAAAACAATTCACCATACTTATATCCAGGAACTTAAGGAATTATTCACAGAGTTAATCAATTTTTGCTAGGGAGTTTCAGCCATCATGGCCATTCCATGCCAAAATCTACCAAATGTGTTAGATAGAGCAAAATTAGTCTCCCAAGTTGATTTCAGGAATGGTACTCCTCAACAACATTGGTAGGGGCACAAATAGGTGCACAACCAATAATCTCTTATATCAAATGGAAGTAGATTTTGCAAGGTTGAGGTTTTATATTGTCCTTTATTTTCGAAGTTTTGGGTCTTAAGCGCCAAGGGATCACACTTTACGAGCTTGATTCTACCACTATTTTTGGGCTTGGATTTCTCACCCATGCCTCCACCCCTATGTGAGTATTGGCCAATTAGGCTTCATGAAGCACTCAACATTTGCTTCGAGCTAGTGAGCTCACGCCTGATGAGATGTCATTAGGAAACTGTTCTGCTTTTAGTGAGTAATTAGATACGAGAATGATTTTGCATTAGTTTCACGCAAAAGGTAAATTTCCATAAGTTTTCTCTCAACTTTCCAAATAATACAAGTAATCAAGCTAGAAATTATGTGGTCAATCTCCTACAAACCAACATAAAACCATTATTGAAAAATGCATGGGATTCATA